TCCACCCTGATAGCCGCCAAATAGTTTCATTCACATTTTTCTCTTCTGTTACGCACACATGAATGCAACACCCAATTTGCGATTCCGTCCTGTTTCAGGAACGATCTTTGCCTAAACTTGTACATAAAGAAATGGAAACACAGTATATTGAAGAGGAGAAGCTGCGCGTAAATGAGTTGATCCGTCGTCTGGACTCTATCCCCGTCCTGAAGAGTCTAACCGCTACTGCCGGACCCGTTCAACGTCGATTTCGCAAGCACACAATTCGATCGGTTCGTGCTCCACGAGTTGAAGAAGCCAAACCCGCTGTGCCAGATCCGGATTCCGAGCTTTGGTCGAAGCAATACGGTCTTGAGTCGTCCGGTTGTGTACCGTTATTACCCGGTTCTTCCTACGGCTCACTATCTCCCGGTCAGCAGTCTACAGTACGCATGGACGCGTACTCATGGACGGATACGATGGTTACGGCCGCGGCTTACCACGGCCATGGAATAAATCGAGACGCGGTCCGTTTGGATTTCACGTTAGAAGTAAGTTTGTTTTTCCACAGACTAACACAGATAAGGATCTTAATGGTGGGTTGCCCATGCTAAGCTACAGTCACGTTGGTACTCAGCACGACTCGCGTAAGAAATAAATGCCTACAGTTCAGCAAAGTATCTATCCATTGACTGATATTACAATACACGAATAAGGTACAACAGTGATTCACATCAAAGCTTGACCATAATTCAATTGTAACATTCATTGTAACATTGTAACATTGTCATAATGCTTTTAAGAATCGGGACAGAAGAATTCACATGCAGCTTGTAAGACGTTGAATACATATCGGAATTCATATCACATGGGAAGAGGGATAACGACACAGAAAAAAGCCACGATAAGATGGATTTGGATAGTTTAGCAAAAATTCTATGGAACCAAACAGGAGAATATATTTAAACGGTGAATGTTTGGATTAGCCCATTTAGCTCTTCACGGACACCGGGTACTGTAGATGATGATGCGTGTGGCTTTCACTCCTTAGAACTAAACGGTTATCCAGTCCTATCTACAAATTATCACAAAGATTTCCATCGCATATAGATGCATTTGATTGGTGGGTATTTAACGATCTTCTAAGGAGTGAAATCTTCACATAATATCAACAACAGTGCCTGTGAAAAGATGATTATATTAATGCAAACATTTACTCTCTAAACTGATCGAGCCATCCGTGCAAGGTATTGACTGTCGGAGGTGTAGCTCTGGGGTTAAGGTGTGGGCTCTCAACCTGATGGTCTGTGGTTCAAGTCCTGATAGGGACACAATAATTACGCACTGCTGACGAGTCTCAAACAGAATGCAACAGCTGTCCAGTGTTCTTCTTCGCATTTAGCAGAGTGTATTAATTTTTACCTGTTCGTTCAGCTTGGTGAACGCTGTTTATGACGATTTCATCACTAACCGAGGTCCCTGCGATTTGGTGATGTTCTGCTTCTGCTCCATTGAAACACACCAGATAATTTCTCCAGACTTGGCATTATTTAATCAACTCAGTGAACAGGCTCATCGAACTGGATCACGGTTCGAGAGAGGTCAAGCAATGCCTTGGAGACAAACCTTGGGGTTCAAATACAAGACGAGAGTAGAACCAACGCCCCCGTTTTCGTGCCAGTTCAACGATCAAGTGAAATGAATATATTGGGACCCAGTGAACCAAACAATCAACGTAGGAGATCCTTTGTACAGGAACTAACAGAAACGGAATACCATCGTACCACAAGTAATGGAGATGTTACATTGGTAGGTAATGATACGTTTGCAAACTCGATGAGCAGGCAAAATTGAAATAAGTTACCTCAAGCTACAAGAATAAATTGCTAGTGTATCATCACCATCATCATCATCGTACAGCAAAATACAGTGAAGCGAACTTCACTGACCGCTGCCAAACTCACAATGCATACAATGTTAGCGGTAAAATTTAAGGTGGACAGGGGTTGGATTTGTATTGAGGGAGGGAGACGAAAGTGAAACTCTGTGGTGAACATAAAGAGTCTGCAATCGAACCGCGCATACATACCGTTTCAAGCATTCTGGCCTGATAAGAAATGACAACAAGATCGTCACTGCTGTCGGTTCGCTGCCATTATCCATCAATGTCTCCAACCAGTCAGTTGAGGGGTGTTTCGGACCTCAACCTGGAAGGCGAGAGACTCCTCTCTACCTAATCGCTCTGTGTATGCTGACCAGTGAGTTGGCTAATCAAACTGGTAACTGCAATTAAAAAAACACGATTGATGATTGATAGGTCCTGGTGTAAAGCCTAGAATAGATATGAGAGCACAACAGGAGAGCTGCAAAGTAAAACGATGGGGCACAATTATCAACAATTTGAAGGATAGTTCTGTACCGAGTTCGGGATTGTTTATTTTTTCGGACCCGAAAAAGTATACATATCCGTTTTGCAACTAAAAACAATGTGTCTAGATCACTGCAGTTCATTGTTGGCTATTTTTAACTTTTGAACGATAGAGTTTACTTTGAGTAAAGGCTCGTCATTCACTAGGAATTCTGAGAAGAGTACGTCAGGGGGTGACGGGCAACCTCACATATTTTATCGCCTTTAGGATAAGTCTTTGACTGTTTATTTGTACCAGTTCGTTGGGGGACTGTATGAAAACCGGAAAGATCGGAAACGACTCAAAGCAATGGCCCAGTATCTGCATATTCTGAAATAAGTGTGCAGGATTGCTACTAGGAAAATCTTGAATGTAGATAGAAGAAGATGGAGTGGTTAGAGCATGGCATTTCGTAACAGTCTGGAATTGTTGCTTAAATGTTTACCAATCGTTGTGTTTAAATTGGCACGCTGCTCGCGTTTGGCCAACTAGTTCGATAACCAGGCAAGTAACTATCCTGTGCAGCTGGAATGATGCACTTTGTCCAGGATATATATACATTGAGCAGATTCTACTGTTTTTTAAAGGTATGCTATTCGACAGAGAGAAAGAGACAACAGCACCCAAGGTAAAGCTATTACTGATGATGTGAAACACTTTCAAAAATGGATTCATCAGCTGAGTTGGTGCTGACAACTTCTTGGTTGTTGGTTGTAGTGATACAGCAATCGCGGTAGAGAAAAATGGAACATGTAGGTAGCTGTTGTCACGGCCTAAAATCCACACCATCCTACTCCTCCTGATCATCATCATCCATGATAACAATAACAAATACATCAACACCAACAATTTTAGTAAATTATTGCTTATCCTCTGTAAGACATATTTATCTAACCGGATATCGTTTGTCTTTCGAAAACACAAGTAGTTCACTTCTGAGCGACCACAATATCCTCGCCGATTGCTTTTTAGAGATTATCTCACACGAAAGGGAAAAAGAATTAAAAAGATTTGTGTGCTTAAGAGGGAATGTTTTCCCTTTTTCTAAGCTGCAACTGAATCCTGCGACAATTCCGTGTCAGATAGCAGTTAGGGTTTATGCGACTTGAAACGACTATAAACATACTACTGTTCCTTTCCCTGTCTGTCCCCTCTCAATTTGGTACCCAAATTCGGTCGACTGGGAACAGTACAAAGCAAAAAATGTGGAACTTAACTAAAAATTGTCTCATACATAAATCTGTTTGAGAATTGCGTCTCACGAGCACCGAGGGAAAAACAATCTTCGCGGATGGCTAATTGACATATGGACCTTTAGAAGTGGATATGCGATTGAGGCTAAACAAGAGTACAGTAGTGAATGGAGAAAAACTGCAGCCACCCGACAGTCGGAAAACGATTTTCAAATGTAAACTAAGGATGAAACTTACTTGTCCAAGTCTAATAGTGAGAATCCGTTAGTAACTCATCGAGATTCTAAGGCCAAATCATCCGCGACTGAAGTAATCTGGGTTCCATCCGCGCGCTGCTAGGCCAGTCGATAGAAAAATGAATACCATGACAGAATCGCTAGATTTTTCATTGCGCTCACGAAGCTAAGTTACACAGAACCGTTTTGTCAATCTCTCCTTGACTTTGTCAACAAATATACTCAAAGTCGAGCTACTCGCATTTTGTATCGTTACACTTTCAGTTCAGTTACTGAACAGGTCAGACAGTGTTCCCGGACAGTGTTGAACTATCTTTCTCTTGGTTTCTGTGTC